GCCTGCCCCGAGATGTGGCCCAGGACCGGATGCACCACGACATAGTGCAGCTTCTCAACGAGTACAACGTGGCCCACAGCCCCGCTGGGCACCCCGGTGCCATGCTGAACTCTGCCCTCTCCCCGGTCATCTGTGGGCCAAATAGGTCCTTCCTCAACCTGAAGCACGCTTCGTTAAGCAAGAAGTCACGAAAACCGAATGCCAAAGGCATCATGCCCACAAACCTCACCAAAGATGCAAAGAGGAGAAGGAAGAAGTCCCTCAGTGAGAGCAAAGGGCAGTTTTCGGAGAGCTCAGTGACCCTGTCACCAGTGGATTCCCTAGAGTCACCCCATGCTTTTGCATCCGAACCAACATCGTCTCCTGTGATGCCGTCGCCGGGGGTGTTACACTCATCGCCCAGCTCACTGCTGACCGCTCCGTCAGTGCAGGCCGCGCACACGATGTCCTTCTCCAACCTCCATGAGATGCAGCCCTTAGGACGTGGATCCAGCACCGTGCTCCCATCCGTCAGCCAGCTGCTTTCACAGCACAGGACCACCCCTCCTAACAGCGGGCTCGGCAGGCTCCGGCCAGCCAACGTTTCCACCGAGTGGATGAACCGCATGGAGGTGAACGAGTCCCAGTACAACGAGATGTTTGGCATGGTGCCGCAGGTGATGCACTCGCACCCCAGCGTGTCTCAGCAGAGCGGTTTGGTTCAAGCAGATACAAAGCACATGGGAGTGTCCAGGGAGTCTCTGCCCCCTATCATGACTTTCCAGCTGGTTCCCAAGGGTGGCATAAACCAGCAAGCACTGCCACAGCAGGCCCAGTCAAACTGCCCTCAGAACATGGCTGGTCCTCTGAGCTCCATGTACCAGATACCCGATTTAGCTCAGCTGCCCAGCGCCTCCTTCTCCATGGCTGCCATCCCTCAGCAGGATGGGCAGGTGGCTCAGACGGTCCTCCCAGCCTACCACCAGTTCCAGAGCTCCATGGGGAAGTACCCCACGCCTCCGTCGCAGCACAGCTGCTACTCCTCGGCCACTGAACGGACTCCTAGCCACAACCGGCACTTACAAGGGGAGCACCCATACCTGACACCATCGCCCGAATCTCCAGACCAGTGGTCAAGCTCCTCCCCACACTCTGCCTCTGACTGGTCTGATGTGGCAACCAGTCCCAGTAACAACCAGCGTGGGCCAGCGGCCGCTCACATGACGGAGCAGCAGCGGAACAACATGCAGGTGTATGCCTGAAGGCTAGCCAAGGTGAAGCCCGATTAAAGTGGACTCCAGAACTCATGAAGGTCTTCCAGGATGGAAATGAAGAACCATTGTAGTATCCAAGAGTCTTAATGAGCCCAGGCTGTTCTTTCCTTGGAGGAACTGTGGTCACTGTAGGCTTGTACGCTTTTATGCTAAACAGAGAACTGTAGAAGCTGGTGATGGAGAAGACCAGCTGGGTCACTTCTAACCAACTCCCGTGCACCTTGGGTGTGATTGCTGTCTGCACTGGATCCTCCAGTCTGCTCTTACATATGTTCCACCATTTCTTTGGGGAGACAGCTCTTCAGCTGAATGAATCTCATGGTCGTTTCTCCAGAAATTTAGCCAAAACCAGCTTTGTATCCTTATTTTGTTACTCCTTTGGTTACCCACATAACCTCTCTCTGAAGCACCTTCTACTAGTTCCCCTCGAGTTCAAGTTGCCTTGTCTTGACGCAGCTCAGAGCTGCACCCACATTCCTAGACCCCCCTCCTTCCCACGGCCGCTCTTGCTCAGCAAGCGAGCCGGACTTCCCACAACACCCGCAGGTCAAGTGGCAGCTTCTGTCACGCAGCTTCACCCTTTCCTCTTCGAGAGCCTTTGTCTTGTACAGACCCACTAACACCCCTTAGCGTTCTCACTGCCTGCCCCCCAGGTATTATGAGATTATATATATTCATAGAGTCTTCTCTTAAGTCTTTTTGGTTTTGATATATTTTTTTTTAAACCCTCCCAAAAACACTGGTCGGACCTGGTCTTCCCCCGCGGTGGCCTGTAGGGATGTCTCTCCTGTCTTTTATGTCTTCCCTGAGACATGCCTGACCATTTTGACACACTACCTTCCCCATGCCCCTGTCCTACCAGGTGTGTCCATGACCACCTTCATGGGCTCCCGTGACAGAAGAGATGCCTTGCAACTGATACAGGCCTTTTGGGAAATTCTTGGGATGAACACAAGTGTTTCAAAACCTGATAACACAAGCTCCCAGCATTCTTGCACAGTCCTCCCCTCCCCTCCATCCAAGGGTGGCTGTGTGTTCTGTCCTCCAGGTACCATATGCTGCCTCTTCTATTGTCAAGAAGCATCGAGGACGTTGTTATGTGTTTGCAGTGTCTGTCCTTCTGCATCAGGAGCGGCGTCCAGCCCTTTGAAAAGAGTCCCTTTTGCTCCAGCCCTGGGACACGGCTGCCTTGTCTTCCCCTCCCAACAAGGAGGCTGCAGCACTGACTGACTCCTGAGCAAGCTTCCAGCAGCAGCAGCAGCAGTGTGCCTGAAGCCAGGAGCTGGGCTTAAGCGGCAGACCACGTAGCTCAGAAACTGTTGCCTGATGCAGTTTGGTTAACAGGTTTGGGGCTGTCCTCTGCTCTCAGCTTCAGCCTGGATTGAGATTTCCCAACTGAGGTGCCCCACGTGCTCTGTGGGACGGTAGTGCCATTTGTGCTGCAGCTCCCCCGATATTTTTGGAGTTACGGAAGCCAACTGACTCAGACCTTA